AGAGGAGACTGGGCTGGACTCAAAGTACCCTGCTCTCTTTCGAGTGACGCCATCTCTCTGCTTCGAAGTGCTATCTGTAAATGGCACTGTGAACCAGCCAACATTTACAGAATATCCAATATGTGCAAAGCACTACCAAGGAAAAGAAAGGTGAGTTGCCTTTAAAAAGCTTAGATGGTGGTAATAACAAGAACATCATCAGTAATTCCAATTACCCTTATGTATATTTGTAAAGTGTCTCAAAGAGGTCCAACTGCTCCATTTTACAGGTGAGGAAGCAGGATTCAGATTAAGTCTGGCTAACTGATTGAGGGAGATAAACAGAGAGATGAGATAGGGATATCACACTTATTAAGCATGGGCCACTTGCTAAGCCCTGAGGATAGAAAGACAAGCCCAAAAGACAGTCCCGGCTTTCAAACAGCTTACATTTTAACTATCCCACCCCAACCCCCTCCAAGTGTGGGAGGGGCAGGGTGGTGAGGAGACTGTGGGCAGTGGCCAGGCAAGATGGAGTAACAGGTTCTCTTATCAGAGTATGGGGAGTCCAGATTTACAGTTTAGATAGAAATGGCTGGAGACTAGGGCCATGGTAAGGAGACTGTAGGAGTGTCATGGGAGCCAGGATCACACAATTTGTAAGCAGAGGAAGATTGATTCAGACAGACCTAGGAGCTACCTGACCCAGTACTGCTCCAGAATAACTAGAGAAACAAAGCATAAGGCATAAAGGGAATGGAATCCTATAGGGCATCATTGGATGGGCAACTAGGTGGTTCGATGGATGGAGTACCAGACTTGTCAGGAAAAACTGAGTTCGAATCCTGCCTGAGATATTACTTGTGTGACTATGTGCAACCTACTTAATTCTTTGAGCCTCAGTTTCTTCATCTGTAAAATGGAGATAATAATAGTGCTAAACTTTCAGGGTTGTTGTGAGGGCTAAATAAGATAAGATGTAAAGCACTTTGTAAATCTTAAAGCACTCTACCACTGCCAGATATTATTAATGAATATAAAATGAATGGTACGGAAAATGAGTCTTATGGGATTTCTTCTACATGCACCAGACTACTCAGACATCCCATGGAGAAGTACATGGAGCTATACACACAATACCTGACTAAGGTATAATGGATCTGGCTATGGGTTTCAGTAGCATGCAGGGTACAGTGGGCAAAACAATGAGCGTGGAAGGCTGCCCCCAATGGCACCATGAAGATTTGGCTGCCCAGAGGTCAGGTGATGGATGGTGTGGTGCTTTTTACCTGAGGCAGGTCCCTAGAACACTTAAGGAAGGTGGACTCTGAATGTTGCTGGAGTATGTTTTAAAGACAGGTCATGACATCAATCTACAGGCTGCAGAAAATGTGGGACAGGCTGTGTGCATGGTCGAGCAGGGATGCCCATATGTGGCATTTTACATCTCTCTTGGTTGTCCTCCCTTGGAAAGATTCACCAGAGGAAACATGGAGTTTTATGTTGCTTCACACCTGAACCGTAGGTATGACAGTGGGAACAAAGTCAGCGCATCACAGAAAAACTCCAAAATGCTCCAAGTTAACAGACAATTAGGGGGAAATGCAAATCCAAGCAACTCTGAAGGTCTTCTCACACCCATAATATTATTAAAGATGCCAAAAAAAGGGAAAATGGCAAGTGCTAGAGGGGCTTCAGAAAACAGACATATGGTAGAGATGTGAAGTGGTCCAGCCATTGTGGAAAGCAATTTGGAACCGAGATGCAGCAGTCACTAAACAGTGTATACTCTTTGACCGAGCAATACCACTACTAGGCCAATGCTCTAAAGAGATCAAAGAGGGAGGAAATGGACACATATGCACAAAAAGTCTCTATAGTACCCTTTTCATGATGGCAAGGAACTGGAAACTAAGGGAGTGCCCACCAATTGGGGGAATGGCCAAACCAATAATGGTATATGAATGTAATGAAATACTAAGTAATGTCCTCCAAGAAATGACAAAAGAGAATGTTTCAGAGAAACCAGGAAAGACTTGCACGAATAGATGCAGTGAGGGGCAGAATCAGAACAACTCATACAATAACATCGGAAAGATAAACAACTCTGGAAGACCTGAGAACGCTGATCAATGGAATGACTGGCCACAAGTCCACCAGACCGATAAAGCATGCAACTCGACCCCAGACAGAGACAGGTGATGGGCTCAGGGGGCACAATGAGACAGAAATTTTGGACTAATGCAGGAATCTGTTTTGCTTAACTATGCGCATTTATTACAAAAGTTTTTTTTTCTTTTAAATTGGAAGGAGAGAAAATAAATACTTGCTGGTTGAAAAGAAAAAACAAAAACCTCAGAGTTACCCCTTCACTTTTAGGGTATGTTAGTGCGAGAGCATCTGGGATTCTAGCCATGGGGGAGGAGAGGGGTGTAGCGAGAAGGAGGACTCAGGCACCTTTCCACAATGTGTCAGTGTTCATTAAGATCTCTCCAAGCCCATTCCTTGTACACAAATGTAGAATTCAAAAAAGACCAAATAAAATTTTATTTTACTTTTCAATTTTTTTCTCTAGTTCCTATATATATGAATTTTAAATGAAAGGCACTGGAGATGTCCAAAGCACTGATGATATTCCCATAAGTTCTACGCTGTTGTTGTTTATACAGAGTTAAGTCCCTTATCTTTTTCTTCATTACCTAGCTTCCATGCTACTTAAAAAAACAAAACAAAACAAAACAAAACATAACAAAACACAAGCTTGACATCAGGCATAATGTGGTAAAGACTGGGTTTCCCAGACACACACTAGCCTACCCTGCACCCAGGAGGAACAAATCGCCCCAGCTTCGGGGAGTGGTTTAATAAAACCACACATTTAAATGTGTGGGAAAAACTGCTAAATATTCTATCAAGTGAGAAAACCAATCCTGCTCAGGCCTCTCCCTCTCCCACACACTGAGTACATCTGTCTTGTCTTTCCTCCTCACCTCTGTCTCCGAATCCTTCGCTTTATTCAATTCTTCACTCAGCTATCATCTCCCGTGCTACCATTCCTGATCTACTTAAGTTATTAATGAGCTATCTCTCCCTTCTCAAATTATTTTGGATTTACTCATCTGTGAACAGGGCCTATCCCATAAGGAAAATGTAAGCTCCCTTGACGGCAGGTACCATTCTTCACTTTGCCTTTGCATTATCAAAACTGTCTTCTGGCTAGTAAGAGGTCCTTAAGAGTTAATATTTATATGGCGTTTTAAGATTTGCCAGATGCTTTACAATCATTCTTTCATTTGTTCCTACCCCGGGAGGTAGGTGCTATTATGATCCCCATTTTATGGAGGAGGAAACTAAGGTAAGTCAGACACCCAGCGATATACAGCTACAAGTGCGTGAGGCTGAATTTGAGCTCAGGTTTCTTGACTCTAGGTCCAGCACTGTGCCAACTAGCCACCCCTAGCTACTGTTGAATCGTTTCAGTCACGTTCTACTCTCCATACCCCCTTTTGGGGTTTTCTTGGCAAAGATATTAGAGCAATTTGCCATTTCCTTTTCCAGCTCATTTTACAGATGAGAAAATGGAAGCCAACAGGGTTAAGTGACTTGCCCAGGGTCACACAGCTAATAAGCATCTGAGGACAGATTTGAACTCAGGAAGATAAGTCTTCTTGACTGTTTCCACTGTGATATCTAGGGACTAGACTTTTATTTTTACAAAGAGGGAAACCGAGTCTCAGAGAGGTAAAGGGATTTCTCTACACATGCAGCACTATCAGATTAACAAAACCCAAGAAAGTCTTTAGAGCAGTTATGACTGTAGGAAAACCAGGCTGGAGAGAATGTCAAATTATAACCAGAAAAATGAACCGTTGAACAGCTAAATTCATAAGTAACAGGGAACACATTTCGGTCCCTACCAAAAAAGGCACTTCTTAGTCTGAGCAGAGAAAAACTAGTTATAAGTAAAATGACAGAGCCCTCAAACGATGCTCTAACTTACTGACAAATTTTGAGGTGCAAAGCTCTGGATTTCTTATTTAGAAGAAATTCCTTGTGTCTTAGGAGTCTTTTTAAATTACCCTCCTACATACATGATTCGCTGGATTGAATCCGTATGTCTGAAAATTGAGGGTCTTTTCATGATGACCTCAGATGAACACCCACAAATCTAACAGAATTAAGCTGAAACTCACAACACAGTAAAATCTGTACTAATTAAACACCAACTGACTAGAATCCATGAATTTCAGGCAGAGAATTTTCCCGCAGAGCCAGCATGGCCAACTCGAGAGGCCAGAAAACCTGGATTTGGGGATTGCTTCTGAGACATACAGGCTGTGAGACCCTGGGTAAGTCATTTAATCTCTAACTGCTCTGGAAATCCAAGATTAAGACTAAGAAGGTGATGTCCTGCATCATAGAGGAAAGTTTCCTTATTGAGGAGTTCCTTATATTAATGAAATCACACATATGGTCTCCATCCTTGCACTAGACTTTTGGAAAGAAAGAGGCATTCACAAGAAGACAAGTATGTTAAAAAGTTACTTGTTAAGCTGTAAAATTCAACTATGAAAATAATGAGGAATCATAATATCCTAATGATAAATACTGAATTCTAATCATCAAGCAAAATTAAGGTCTATTGGTTATACTGTGCTTACTAAGGCAAGAAGAACTTGAATCCAGGCTGCCTTTGACTCTCAGGTTAGATACTGTCCAGAGGTGGGGAACCTTCACAAAGTTGTGTCAAAGGGCTGTACTTGAGGACCTAGAGGCCTCGAGGCCATAGGTTCCCCACCCCTGTTAACTATACTGTATTAATGTAAAGGATTATAACAAAAATTAATTTTTGGCAAATGGAGAAATTAAGTCATCTAGAACAAGGTAATAGTTGAATATTGGTATTAAATGCTGACCACTAAAGAAATATGGCAAACATATTGGCTCTGGTCTTTTCAGTACAGGAATGGTACAGGCACAATCAGATTGCAATTGAGTAAAAAAGAATGACTTCGTAGTACCTTGATTGTTTCTGTGGGTACTCCTGGGTCTGGAACTTTATCCAAATAGGTGGTCAAGTCTTGATCAACGTGTTCGAACACTAGCGTGAGCTTGGTTTCTCTGTCTGTCCGTGACACCGTGCACACATCAAACAACCTAGGGCAAAAGGGAAAGGGAAGATAAGTAGGTAGAAATCAGCAAAGAAGCAACATGCACTTCTCATGCATAAGCCTCAATTTTATGACGTAAAAAAGAAGGAAAGTTAAAAAAAAATAAACTTTCTGGAAATAGGTCCGTCTTTCCTTGGGGTTGCTCTAATGCAAACTGTGTTAAGAGTGTCATTCCAAGGGGACATGTTTTTTGCCAGAAGTTAAAGAGATAAAAAGCAATCCTATCCCCCAATTAAGAAATGGACAAAGAATATGAACAGGCAGTTTTCAGAGGAAGAAATCTAAGCTAGCCATATGAAAGAAAATGCTCTAACTAATCACTAGAGAAATGCAAATCAGGAGGTTTTGCATCTCATCTATCAGACTGAATTGACAAAAAAAAAAAGCTGACAAAAAATGGAAAATAACAAATGCTGGAGGAACTGTGGGAAAATGGACACACTGATGGTTTGGTGGAGCTGTGAAGTGGTCTAGCCATTCTGGAAAGCAATTTGAAGCAACGCCCCAGTGCTGGTCAAAGGACAGACACATTTTAGTGACTTTTGGGGCACAGTTTGGAATATGTGCATACACACACACTCTCACAATTTTCCAGATCTATACTTGAAAAAGATCAAAGAAACGGACAAAAGGATCCATATGGACAAAAATAGTTACTGCAGCTCTTTTTTCAGTGACAAAGAACTGGAAACTGATGGGGTACCCATCAACTGAGGGATGGTTAAATAAGTTATGGTGTTTGACTGTGATGGTACACTACTGTGCTATAAGAGAGGATGAAGGGGATGGTTTCAGAAAAACCTGAGAAGACTTGTATGAACTTATATAGAATGAAGTGAGTGGGATCACATTAACAATTTATACAATAACAATAATATTACAAAGACACACAACTTTGAAGGACTTAGGAATTCTAATCAATGAAATGCCAATGACAATTCCAGAGACTCATGATAAAACATGCTATCCACTTCCTTATAAGAGGTGATGGACTCATGAGTACAAATTCAGACATTTTGGGGGAAGTGGACATGGCCAATGCAAGAATTTGTTTTGTTTGACTATACATGTTTGTAATAGAGGTTTATTTTCCCCCTTTGCTTTCTCAAGGGGTGGGGGAGATAAGGTGGGTTTCATTGATTGGGGAAAAAAAATAAAGACAAAATTTTTTTTAAAAATGTAAAAGCCTTGAGGGTAGGGAATGTCTCTCTTGAATTTATATCAAGTGCTTACTGCTTGGCACACATCAAGTACTTAATAAATATTTTTCATTCAATCATTTAAAAAACATGAAAAACAATCTAAAAGCACAGAGGTTTCAGACTAGATACCAAAATGAAGCACCCCTTTAATGTACTTTGCAAACAGAGGGGGTATTCACACAAACAAAATGGAAGTAACTGAAGTTAAAGACATAGAATTCAGAGTGGTGGTTAGCAGCTTGTGTAGTATCAGCTAAAATGGACAGAATTTTAAGCCTAAAATAGGGAACTACATACTGGGTAAAAGGTGTGTGCCTTTAAGTTCTGCATGAAGTTTTTCCTGATTCCCTCAATTGCCAGGGCCCTCTTTCCCAGCTACCATGTATTTAGCTCCTTTGTCAATATTTGTATTTAACATTATACTTATGCTAGGTATATTTATACATATACTTACTGCTTTTCCCATTAGAATGCCAGCTCCTATCAAGTAGGGGTTATTTTACCCTTTTTAATGTATACCTATAGTGCTTAACATAGTACCCAGAACATAGTTTTTGCTGTTCAAGTCTTTTTCAGTCATATTCAACTCTTCATGACCCCATTTGGGGTTTCCTTGGCAAAGATACTGGAGTGGTTTGCCATTTCCTTCTCCAGCTCATTTTACAGTTGAGGAAACTGAGGCAAATAGGGTTAAGAGACTTGCCCAGGGTCACACAGCTAGTAAATATCTAAACATAGGTCTTCCTGACTCTAGGCCAGGTACTCTATCTGCTGTGATGCCTAACTATCCGTGGGAACTTGGTAAGAGCTTAATAAACACTTGTTCACAGACTAACTGAAATTTTCACTTTTAAGGGAAATAAAAAACTACACAGCTTTTCTCAAACTGGTGATGTTGATTTGAGACGGACATTACAGGTTGCCTAGAGACCAAGTCTCTCATTTTATTAAGAAGGAATCCAAGCCCTAGAAAGGGGAAGTAACTTGCCCAATGGTCACTGAGCTAGTAATTAGTAGAACCAAGATTCAAAGCCCATTTAGTGGTTGTTTTTACCCATTAGAATATAAGCTCCTTGAGGGTAGGGATACTTTTTTCCCCTTGTATTTGTACTCCTAATATTTAGCACAGTGAGTAAGAGGAGTACAAATACAAGGGGAAAAAAGTATTTTTTTTAATTTTAATTTGATAAATGCGACTTGGGTTGGGTCCTTTGACTCTAACTCCAGTCTTCTTTCCACTGTACCACCACCCTGCCTGGTTGTTTTTGTCTTTCCTTCTCAAAGAGGAACATGACATCAGGAAGGTGATGCCATGACTTGCAAGTGAATTGGATTTTAGTGAGAGAGGGTAATGAGAAGTCACCAGCCTCACTTTCTCCTCCAGAGCTATGTGGGTCCAGTGGCAGGACACAGATCAGGACAACTGGAGATGGCCTCCACCACCCTGCCTAACTAAACATGGAAGACTTTACTCTTACACACTCAGGAAGCCTATTCCTCCCTCCAGGTCAGCACTCTTTTACAACAGATTCTGCAATGAAAAGTTCAACAGCCATCTGGGGGATAAGATTCCTGTCTGTTCGTGGAAACACACTGCTGCATCACAGACTGTTTTCATTCTTGTACTATAGCTTCGCTAAATTGGCTGACCAAAAAAAAAAAAGTCCCTCACAATTAAAAATTCTTTCACCCAATTACTAATTAAAACAAAGCAAATCATAACTGATTTTAAGGAAAAAATCATATTAAGAAAAAAAAGTAGCATACTCATCATTTCACTTAAAAGATAAAATAGTGGACTTGCAGGACAAGGCAGCGAAGCACAGAAGAAAATCTGTCTGGATTTGGAATTGGGAGACCTGAATTTTAATCCCTACCCTGACATTTATCAGCAACATAAACACAGATAAGACATCTAAGTGCTCCAAAACTCAGTTTCCTCATTTGTAAAATGAAGAAAATAATATGTCCGTACTCTTCCTAACTCACAAGATTGTTATAAGGAAATTTCTCTGTAAAATGCAAAGCCCTGAAGCAATGTTATTAAGAATTATTATTACTATTGCATAAATAAGTTAGTTGGACCAAAAATTTCAATCTAAACATTACATATATGCTTTAAAGTTCTGGAAACAAAATTCTGAAATGACTTTTCTTCCAAAGTATAAACTCTTTGGTCAGAAACAGCACATAAACAAAAGAAATTTAAGTCTGTCTCTTATGCAGAAGAACAAACATAGCATGACTAACAGTAAAAGGCAATTTGAAAGACAGATAAAGATATTCTTCCTCCCCAAGTTTCCTCTGGCATTAAAAGCTCCTTCAGTATTACTGTGCTGTAAGAAACCATGGATATGAAAGACACAGAGACCCACGGGAATACTGAAGATGAACTGATAACCAAATGAAGCTGAACCAGTGCATAACCACAACAGTGTAAATGGAACGAAGGAAAAAAAATGAAGCTGATCACTATGGACTTATGATGATCAGGCTTGGCTCCAAAGAACAGAGGAGAAAAGTATCCTTCTCTCTCCCTCTTTTCTTTGCAGAGTCAAGGAACTATGGGCAACTGCCACGCACGGTATGGATGATGGGTTGGCTAGTTTAGGCAAAATAGACTTTTTTTCCCTCTTTTTTATTCTTTGTTACAAGGGTCCTGGGTACAAGTAGGGGAATACTTGAAAACTGAGGTGATGTAAAAACAAAAAACAACAACAATTTTTTTTTTGAAATTTTAGCTCAGACTGAGCTCTTCAGCTTTGTGGTATAGGCAGTAGATTACAAATCCTTTCCCTGTGCCTTCCTGCTCCAACCAGCATGCACTAGAACTGTCTAAAATGTAAGTTTTCTTTTGATATCAGCTTGTGCTCTTAGGAATGATCAATCAGTCAACCCACAAGTATTTGTTAATTACCTATTCTGTGTCTGGCACTGTGTACTAATAAGTGCTGGGCATATACAAAGACAAAAATGAAAACCGTGAAACATTCCTGCCCCAAATTAATGGCCACGCTAGTCTCAATGTGGAGAGAAAGGTATTTTGAATAAGTACTTGTAAAGTTAATCACAAGCTCATTAGCATATAATATTTATGTTGCTTGGGGGGAGAGAGGAGGGCTTGTAACTTACCCCGGTCAAATAATGGTCTCTTGAGTAAGCAATGAACAGAAAGATGCTGTAGTCTTATCACAGCCATCCCAGTGGCTTAAAGCTAGAGAGTCTTGAAATGAACAATTTGCAATAGATTTCTATGAATCAATGAGGAATACAGCCAGACTGCCTATAACTCCAATGCTTACAAATAGAAGGGAGCCAAACAGGTCTGAACATCTGAAAATAAACACTGGAAACATTTTTCCAACTGTATGATTCCTTTGTGTTGACCAACATTTTCTTTAAAAAACTTTCTAAAACACCTTTTTCTCCCTTGCCAGGTATTTAATATATTGGCAAATAGGCCATTCCAGCCATTGCAAGACTGCAATTCAGTAAGAAAAAAGGAGATTGTCCTGGGTAGGACTGAGAAAAGCAGGAGTTTCAGCTATTTTTTAGAGGAAAGGAAAGTAGCTATTTATTTGTTTTAAAGTAAGATTTCTTTTAATTTTACATCATTGTCGTTTCTGGATCTATCCACCTCCAAAGAGCCCTCCCTTGGGTCAAAGGAAAAGTTACACAAAGCCAACTGAAACAGTGACTATCTTAGACTGTATATGCAACATATCCTCTTCAGTCAGGCCTCTCTTCTCTACCAGAAGGAAGTGGAGGAAAGGATCTATTCAAT